GCGGCGGCGGCGATGGCAGAGCAGGAGGGTGCCCGCAACGGCGCCCGCAACCGTGGTGGCGTCCAGCGCGTGGAGGGCAAGCTGCGTGCCAGCGTCGAGAAGGGCGACTACTACGAGGCGCACCAGATGTACCGGACCCTCTTCTTCAGGTGGGCGCGGGCGGTGGCTTGGCGCCGAGGCCCCGCCTCTACTGCTGCTCATTGGCTGGTCTGTGGCGCCCCGCATCCTCATTTGCTCGCGCGGCTGCCTGTCGCGGGTCGGAGCGGGGGCGGCGGGCTTGGACTACTCGGCAGGGCCTCCTCTTCCCTATCTGGCTTCCCCCTCCTCCTCTCTCGGCCTTGCTTCTCAGGGTCCCTACCTTTCTGGTTGCGCTGTCCTTTCCCCGTCCTTCCTTCCCCTTCCCAGATGTCCTTCCCCCGCCAACTTCTCTGGCCTCCCCTTCCCCGGGCCTCTCTACTCTCTCTTAGGCCTCCTCCCTCCTTATAGGCCTCTCTTCCCGCCATTCCTTCTTCCTAGCCCACCCTCTTTCTCGCCTTGTGTTGGGCCTCCCGTCGGTAGTCAGGTCCTGTTCTCAGAGTAGTTTCTCCTGGTCCTCCAGTCTGTGGCCAGTGACTGGAGTGGCACAACCGGCTTAAGTGTGGTCAGATGCAGACATCGTGGGCCAGCCCGAGGCCATCTGCAGGGTTGATTCCAGGTTCCTGCCCGTGTGCATCTGCCTGCTGATAATCCCCTCTTCGACCTTCAGTCCATACTGCGAGATAGCAGCATTCCTGTACCGTGTTCGTGGTGTGGTTTTAGCCTCTGCGCCCCTTAGACCTTTTTGTTTCCATCGGCTTTGTTTGTTTTAGGCTAGTTTTAGGTCTACAGTAAAAGGAGTGGAAAGTGCACATTATTGTGTCTGCCGAGCGGTACAATGCCAATTGCACATTTTTCAGCTACCCGTCCCTGTCACTTAGGGTCCCCGTGCGCTGTGGGACTCCTCCCACAGTCATTCCCCTCCGGCATGATCCTGGCATGGTGTTTTCTGTGGGCTGGATGAAGCTACCATGACAGCGTGTGACACCTTCCACAATGGCCTCACTGCTTTGAAGCCCCGTGGAGGGCTGAAGACTCATTTTAGCGCTCATGCGTGTTTACATTTGAGGACAGTTCCCACTTTCTCCCCACATGCCCAGAGTGAGCCTGGTAAAGGGCATGTGATCAAGGCCACATGTGGGAGTTACCAAGCCATCAAAGAGACTAGCCTTGCAGTACTTCCATAACACTGCTCCGTCCAGTACCTTGCCAGGTGAGGGGTGAGCCCTGGCATCCTTGATTTCAAAGACTTCCCCATTTGATTTATCTGCTGGGTGACCTGGATTAGGAGCAGGGGCTTTAGTCACCGACTATCAGCTAAACAAAGACATTAGTCCTCGCTCTAATTGCCGGTTCTCTACAGAGCAGTCTTGGGGAATTTTCTGTGTACTAAACCGGATGCTATAAATACAAACCAGTCTGGCTATATCTGGTTTCATCAGTGTCCGGAGTGCCTTTTTTTTTTTTTCTAACTCTGTAATTATATTGGGAAGGTACTTGCTTTGTCCTTTAGTTAAAAATCTATAGCCAGGCACCGTGCCCATGCATTTAATCACAGAAGAGCGGGCAGGTCTCTGAGTTCTAGGCCAGCCTGGTCTACCTGGTCTACCAAGTGAGTTGGAGAATAGTCAAGGCTATTATACAGAGAAACCCTGTCTCGGGGAAAAAAAAATTAAGTTTTACACGTAGAAGTGACTACCTAATGATTGATACACTAACTGGTTTTAGTTTTTTAATTTTTTTTTGTGTGTGTGTGTGTGCAGCTGGGGATGGAACCCAGGACATCTTTCATGTTAGGCAAGGGCTCTACGTTTGAGATACACTACAGCCCTTTCTTTAACTTAGAATTTTGAGGCAGTGTGCCTTCAACTCTGTAGCCCAAGCAGGCCTAGAATTCTTGATCCTCAAGGCTCAGCTTCTTAAGTAGCTGGAATGACAGGCCTATGTCATCAGGCCAGCTGAATGGTTATTTTTCTCTGAGTTGAGCTGTGTCACTGGCCAGGATCAGCCAACTGGCCCAAACATTCCTGAGAACAAAGGAACAGACACAGCTCTGGATTGCAGGAGTTCCTCTATGGAGCAGGCCAATCACTGCTATATTTCTGAAACATTGGGAATACATCCAGGTGTGTTTTTTTTTTTTGTTTTTTTTTTTGGTTTTGGTTTTGGTTTTTCAAGACAGACTTTCTGATTGTCTAGGAACTCACTCAGTAGACCAGGATTGCCTCGAACTCAGAACTCAGAGAACCGCCTGCCTCTGCTGGGATTAAAGGCCTGGAGAGATGACTCAGTGATGTAGAGTGGTGGCTGCCCTTCCAGTGGACCCTGGTTCAATTCTCAGCAGCCACATGTAACTCAGTTACAGGGGATCTGACACCCTTACACAGACATACATGTAAGATACCAATTTACCTAACAAAGAAAAGGAAAGGTGTGGGCCACCACCACCCGGTTCCATTTTTTTATAAATCCACAAAGTGGATCTTCCAGAATAAACTTGTTTTTGTTTTGAACCAGCCCCACCACTGTGACTTCTTGTTAATTTAGTGTTATGTGACCAGATAGAGTTCCCTTGGTCAAGGTAAACTAGGGATGGTGATGGGCAAGTTCTGCCTCTTCATTGTTTGAGGCCACATGCTATCAGCTTACAAGGAACCAGCCATCAAGAGGACTGGAGTGTAGTGGTCCAGGGACACAGCATTCCACTGGGGCCCAGTACTCATTACAGAACTTAACTAGGGGACTGGAGAGATGGCTCAGTGGCTAAGAGCACTGACTGTTCTTCCAGAGATCCTGAGTTCAATTCCCAGCAACCTCATGGTGGCTCACAACCATCTGTAATGAGATCTGGCACCCTCTTCTGGTGTGCAGGCATACACAGAGGTAGGATGTTGTATACATAATAAATCTTTTTTAAAAAAAAAAAACAGAACTTAACTGGGTCTCAGCTTCCCTGAACCACTTGAGTATGAGGAAAACTGGGGACCCAGGGTTTCTTGTGGTGCTCTACGTAGGCTCAGGGTCATTCCATGGGGTAGGACTACCAGAGACATCATACTGCTCAGAGGCACTAGTTTATAAATCTTTGTTCCATTGCATACACATGTTAATATGTCAGGACACCATGCAGGAGTCAGCTGTCCCCTTGAGGGTCAGTCTTGGTGGCAGCCACACTTACCTGCTAAGCTACGCCATCTCACCAGTCCTGGTTTTAAAGTTTAAAGTGAGCATTTGCTTAAATTTTTTACTTTGAAAACTCCAAGATGGTGCTGCTGATTTTGGCCATGACCCCTGGTTCCCTCTCCTGCTAGTATTCTCAGGCAGCTTGTTTGTTATTCAGCACAGTTATTTTTACTTGGTTTTTGGTTCTGTACAATGGTTGAGAGGCTCTCCATCAGTGTGGCTTTCTAGTTCTCTCAACAAAGTATTTTGAGTCTGATCCGCATTTATAGCATAGTCTGTCCTTTGTGTCACAACCCCATTTTAACCTCACCACTCTTAGCCTTTGTGGGAGATGAAGAGCCAAACAGTCTACAGAAATTTGGCCTCAGAGTCCTCAGTGCCCCCGACCTAGCCATGGTCCTGTTGTGGCAGGCTACCTTGTCTCTCCAGATGTGTCCTCCAGGAGGAGGAATGAGCTTTGCAGGCTTGGTTGTTGGTATCTCAGAAAGTTAGAAGCTATTTGTCTTTCTTGCCGTGACAGCACCACCAACCATGCTGTCCTCCAGGACCCCAGTGTTGGTTGCTTTGTGTGGGTGAGGAGGCTTTCTACTTTCAGCCTACCCACTCCCCCACTATTTTCTACTTCCTGTCCTACAAAGTGATAGTGTAACAGTATTCCTGAGGAGACATGAACATCACAGATAGGGAATGACAGACAAAAGTACAGATACCACCAAAGTCCAACTTGCTGAACCAATGAGCTATATTAGGGCTGCTTACATGAATATGGATGAGGGGTTACTTACGGGAGCAGAAATGATACAAAGACAGCTGTATCACCAAAGCTCACCCCAGCATGGTTGACAGTTGACAAAAGCTGGAACCGTGGAACATACTGCACAGCCTGTAGCCAGCTCACCAGGTTGGAGAATTCCCTTAACAGGTCAGTTGGTCTGAGCCTCACAGGCAGCTTTCAAGCAGGTGAACTTGTCCAAAAGTTTCAGCACTACTTGCAGCTTGTGATTCTTGGGCCCAGTAAAGCCGGCGGGCTTCAGTCTTCCTGAAGCTATGGAGTTGTTTTCTTCCTGAGTTTGAGGAGCTTCCTGCAGGTTGGGAAGTTTCATCTCCCTGAGATCATCCTGTTGTTTCACCTCCTTCTGGCATCCTGTGTGTTAAGGAGCTAGCTTCCTTGCAGGATGGAATCTGAGGAAAGTGCTTCTCAACAGGCTCTTCTGGGACCTGTTTGAATTCTTATTCTTATAGCCCGTAACCGTATTTGCCAAAGTCACATAAAGAAATGTTTAATAAGAAACCCTCCAGTGTGTGTTATGCACACCACACCCTTGGGTCTGAGGCCACCAAGTCATGGACATGTGTGCTGGGTGAACATATTAGATGAGCGCCTATCCCTCCTTTTGTGTTGTTTGGTGTGCATTTGTGTGCTTGCACATTTGAAGGCCAAAGGTCCACTTTGGGTTACTTCATCAGTTACTTTCAACATTTTTTTTCTTTGAGACAGAGTCTGTCATTGAACCTAGCACTCACTATTGCAGCTGGACTGACATGAAGCAACCCCAGCACTGGGGTTACATGTACACATAGCCGCCAGGCGATGGTGGCGCATGCCTTTAATCCCAGCACTTGGGAGGCAGAGGCAGGCGGATCTCCGTGAGTTCGAGGCCAGCCTGGTCTACAAGAGCTAGTTTCAGGACAGGCTTCAAAGCTGCAGAGAAACCCTGTCTTGAAAACCCAAAAAAAAAAAAAACAAAACAAAACAAAACAAAACAATGTGACAAGTACACATAGCCACACCAGGGTTTTTGTTGCTGTTGTTGTTGGTGGTGTGTGTGTGTGTGTGTGTATTTTGTGTATGGGTGTTTTGTCTGAATGAATGTTTGTACCACGTGTGTGC